ACTGGCTCTGGTGTGAGTGGTAACTGTGATGGGCTCGGCAGGCCAGTCTTCAGGCCCACAGAAGGCGAGTGTGGGCGGGCACCAACTGTGGTGGTAGTAGCACATTGAGTGGGTCCAGCCTCAGGCCCTTAGATGTACTCAGGTGCTAACAGTGAGAGAAAGAGTAGCACAATCTTCAGGCCCCTGGACGGCATGCTTGGGCACTGGGGGGAGAAAGGGTTAGGTGTGGGCCACACAGGCTGGTCCTCAGGCCTCCTGGTGGTGTGGGAGGATGCTGACTGTGATAGGCGAGGCAGGGTGATTCCCCACATCACTAGAAGAATGCTCACGTTGGGGTGGCAGCAACTATGCTGCAGCCCTGCTGCTGAGGATGACAGGGTTGCTTCAGTGGCAGACATCATAGACAGGTGGTTGGGGAACGTGCACTTTGGTCCCAGAGGGTGGCTGCAGGCAGGGTAGCCTATCCTCAGGGTGCTTGTAAATGCACCGTGTCCATGTTGCTGAGGGATGTGTTGTCATGCGAGCAGCGTGCATTTCAGCTTGGGTGGTGGCTGCAAGCGGGGAGTCCGTCAGGCGCACGAAAGTGCGCTGCTGGGGGTTGCAGGGCTTCTGCCAACGGCCTGTGCTTCAACCTTGGGGGCAGCTCAACAGTGATGATGGCTGTGGGTGGGGCATGTTCATGGTACTCCCAGGATGTGGAGATGCAGGGTCTTTTGGGTCCCAGGGCAGTATGCAGTCTGATGGGTGATGTGCTCTCAAAATGACACTGTGCTGTAGCTGCTTAGGACTTGGGGGTACTGGACCTCAGCACCAGCTTCCTCTCCAAAGCAGTGCCTGTGTGCCATCTCCAGGCAGTTCCCTATGTTAGTGTCGGGGCCTGCAAGAGCTGAGGGGCTCTCCCTTGGTTAGGATTGCAAGGGGTCATAATAGGAACGCGGACTGCTGGGAGTTTCTCCCTTACATTTTCCCCACGCTGGGGAGCATCTCTGGGCTCCCAGCTGCTTCCGGCCAAGCAGACTGCCTTACTTCCCTCTCTTTCCTTGTCTTTGGTGTTTCTTGGCACTTCTCTGATGAGCTCTAGTGTTCTCTCTTAGAAGATCTCCTAGAAGATTCAAAGTGTGCTTATCTACTCGCTATTTCCATTCTTTTTTTGTAAAGGAGCTGAGTACAAGCTGTGTGTAGTTGGCCCTCCCATCCTGGCCGATAAACTTTTAAAAGCTTCACCCCCAGAACCAACTTCAACCCTCCCTTCAATCTTTTCATGTGATATCCAACATTTACAAGGATCTTCTAAATAGCTAAATGAGTTCTTTGCCTATCAAATAATGGTGGTTCGGTTAAAAAATTCTGTTAAAGATGACATTATTTCCAGTTTCCTATGATGAGACATAAAATTTGTGATTGAAAAGCAGAAATACACATTTTTTTAAAGCACACATTGAACATTCACCAAGACAGACTCATATCCTGGGCCACTGAACAAGCGCCAACAAATATAAAAGAATAAAAATTACACAAAGTGTATTTTCTGATCATAATGAAATCAAATTAGAAATCAATAGCAGAAAAACATTAGAAAAATTTCCAGACGCATGAAAATTGAATAGTATGCCTCTAAATAATCTATAGGTAAAGAGAAAATCTCAAAGGAAATAAAAATATACAGAACTGAATGAAAATGAAAGCACAGCCTACTAAAATATGTGGGGCGCAGCTAAAACAGCACTGAAGCCGAAATCTGTAGCACTAAATGCTTACATTAGAAACTAGGAAAGGCCTTAAATCAATGATCTAAGTATTTACCTCAAAAAATTGGAAAGAGCAAAATAAACTCAAAGCAAGCAGAAAAAAGGAAACAATAAAGAGAAGAAATTAATGAAATTGAAAATAGGAAACAATGGAGAGAATCAATGAAGCAAGAGGCTGGTTCTTTAAACAAAAATCAATAAAATTGAACATCTAGGAAGAATGTCAAACTTAAAAAGTCAGAAGACATAGATCATCAACATTAGCAGTAAAATAGGGGCTATCGCCATAGATCTTGCAGCCACTGGAAAGATAAGAAGAGAGCAGTACAAACAATTTTATACTCATAAATATGACCTCTTAGAGGATCAACTCCTTAAATACCACAAACCACCAAAGTTCAACCAAGATGAAACAGACAGCCTGAATAGTCCTACAGCCATTAAAAAAATTGAACTTATAATCAAAGCCTCCCAAAAAAGAAATCTCCATGCCCAGTTTCACTGGAAAATTCGATCCAACAGAGGATTTGGCCCAGTGTTACACAATTTCTTTCAGAATACAGAAAAGAAGGAAATATTTCCAAACATATTTTATGTGACCATTTTACTCTGATACCAAAAACAAAGATAACAAAAAAGAAAAAAACTACAGAATAATATCTCTCATAAACTTAGATGCAAAAAATCATCCACAAAATATTAGCAAAGTGAATCCAGTAGTATGCCCCATGACCAAGTGGAATTTATTCCAAGTATACAAGGCTGGTTCGACATTTGAGAATCAGTCAGTATAATCCAACATATCCACAGGTTGAGAAGAAGCACCACAGGATTATATCAACTGATACAATAAGAGCACGTGAAAAATTCCAATATCTAATCATGACAAAACCCCTCAATAAATTAGTAATACTAGGGAATCACCTCACTTGATTTTCAAAAATCTATAAATTAAAAAAAAAAAATTAACAGTGAAAGACTGAATGTTTTCCCTCTGCTTTCACCACTCTTATCCAGCAAGGTACTAGAAATTCTAGATGTAGTAAATAATGCAAGAAAAAGAAATAAAAGGCATGCAGATTAGAAAGGAAGATGGCGGGAAGGTGGGTGTGGCTGTGAAAGGGCCCAGAGAACCTTTGTGGTATTGGAACCATTCAGGCTTTTGATGATGGTGATAGATACACAAACCTACACATGGGACAAGCTGTACAGGACTAAATACACACACATGCCTGAATGAGAACAAATAAAACTGCTGAAATCTAAATCACATCGGTGAGTTGTATCAATGTCAATATCCTAGACGTGATGTGATACTACAGTTTTGCAAATGTTAGCTTGGAGGAAACTGGGCAAAGAGTATATGGTCATCTCTGTTATTTTTTACAACTGCATGTGAATCTTTAACCATCTCAATAAAAATTTCAGTTAAACAAAAAGCAGAGAGCAGATCAAAGGTAGAATATGGGAAGAACTTCTGGGGTCAGTTAATAGAAGCAGGGTTGCTTTTTATTTTATCTTTTTTTGGTGGGAGAGGGGTCAGAGGCCCAAGAAACTCATGTTCTATTCTTCTTGTGTAACTACTTAGACATAGACCCTGATTGAATCAGTACAGGAAGGTTACAGGAGAATTCTGGGAGAAAGGATGCCAAGAGTCAAGGAGAACATAAGAGTCTAGAGAGCAAAGTTCTGGTTATACTGAAAGGAAATTAGGGGCTAACCAGGCAGATCCAGGGGCAACAGTTGGGAGAGGGAGACCTGAATATGCCTGTGGGCTGAGGGAAAGAGCCAATAGTAAAAAGACTGAAAGAAGCCATGGAGAGAGCCACGAAAAGGAATGGGGGAGGAAGGGAACAGGATGCTCAAGGACCCTGAGACAAGGTCAGACTCTTCATTGTTTGAGAGAAAAGAGGAGAGAAACAGGTGAGAAATAGGGAAATGGTGGGTAGAATTGGGAAAGTGAGGAAGCCCTTCCTGGATGGCCTTGACCTCTACAGATGCCATCCACTGGGAGTACGATAAGGTAGGAAGTCTGAGAACAGGGAACAGCACAGAGTAGTGTTGTGGTTCCTCATCCTTAAGAGAGATAAGTACAAAAGGCTGAACCACATCTAGACCCAGCTGAGATACACAGAGGGAGGCTCAAGGGGAGACATGTGACAGTCTTGGGTGACTTTACAAAAAATATGTATCCTAGTTTTAACTCTCATTATAAAGGGAATACATACTCATGGTAGAAATTAGAAAATGCAGAAAAATACAAAATGTACAAAATACTCATGATCATACCACATAGGGGTAATAATTCAAATTTGCATAAATAAAACTGTGGAAATCTAAATCACATTGGTGAGTATATGGTCATCTCTGTTATTTTTTACAACTGTATGTGAATCTTTAACTGTCTCAATAAAAATTTCAGTTAACATTTCAGCATAACATTTCTTCCATGGTCTTTCCTCAGTTCATATTATTTTATACAAATATATTTTTATAAAATTTGTAACTCATATAGTTTTATTTATTTATTTTTAACCTAACATTAAATCATGACCAATTTCCCTTAAAAGTTTTGATCTTCAAAGTTTTGGGTTTTTTTTAATAACTATAAAATATTTATTATATTGCCATTCTATAATTTTTCCAATTCTCCCTTTTGGAACATTTGAATGTTTTTCACTTTTCCAATTACAAACAACTGTCATGAGCCCCTTTGTATGTGAATCTTTGGTGTACCCTGTGATTATTTTCTCAGGATAACTTCATTAGCTAATGTTTTCCAGACATGTCTGTAGGCCTGCGAGTAGAGAAGGAGCCAGTTTGAATTGGCCAGATGGAGATAATGCAAAATCAAGGGGCTTAGAAGGGGAGGGTAAAACACCCTGGGGTGGGTCAGTGGAGAAGGGGACTGAAAGGCATTAGGGGTATTATAGAAAGATGTGGGGGTCGAGAAGTCAAGATCTAAGTGAAGAGCAAGTTCAGTAAGACCAAAAGAGTGGCCACACAGTCAGAACCAGACTCCTCGCCTCCTTCCTCTAGCCGAGGCCTCCTTTCATGTTCCATGGACCATCTTCTGCCAGACATTATCAGTACCTTGCAATGACTTATCTCCCTGGGGTGAGCATTGCAAGCACTATGAGAAACGGGGTTTCCTGGTGATCCATCCCTGTCTCAGCCCAGGGCTGGAAAGAACTTGACAACTGATGGATGGCTGACGGGCTGCAGGTGGGATACACGGAAAGAAATACTCACTGTCTTCATGAGTCCACACAAGCTGAGGGGCACTTGGAGGCCCGTCCCCCGGGGTGGTGAAGCACAGAACTGCTGTGAAGTAGGCAGTAAACTTCTTCAAGTTAGCTATGTACCCATGGTGGACTCCATGGAAGTCTGGAGCAATGGTGGCTATCGTGACAGCCTCAGGGACATCTGCTGGCCATGCTAGAAGCTGGGACAGAACAGACGAAGAGATTCCTTTTCATCGTATTTCTCTACTCTCACTTGTATATCAGAATTTTATTTGACAATTAATATGACTTTTAAAGAGCAAAGTCACAATTTAGAAAGTCCAGAAATCCTACATCTTATAATTTAACTAAAAAAGTAGAGTTAAAAAGACATTTCATAGATTTTCATATGCAAACATGTACAATATATATTTTATTTTATTTGTTTATTTTTTTTTGAGTCGGAGTCTCACTCTGTCGCCCAGACTGGAGTGCAGTGGCCGCTCCCGGCCACCTCAGC